TGTCGTGTTGAATTCTTTGCTTAAAGAACCCAAATATATACATAACTTACTTAAAGAAATACCAATAATGAAACAAGCTTGAGGAAAAAAGAAAAAAAAAGTAAGACAGCTCAAATTCAAGGAGAGGCTCCCAGCTTATAATATTTAAAACTGCCCATCTCTTTTGTCATTTTTGTTTGTTACGTAACTTTAGGCAACAATCAATTAAATATAAAGACAACTTTCAGAGACTTTCTACCACAATATGAATGAGTTTCTATTTATTTTGCTTCCAGCCCATCTAATACGTAACATCCAATATGACTCATAAATCAATTCAAATATTTACATTCTGCCATTATACCTTGAAGAGATAATAAACTCTATGCCTACATTTAAACAAAAGCAGGCTCCAATTCTACAAACTGTTATACTTGAACAGCACCTTGGGGTTTACAGGTTTCCCTGAATCACAAAGGACCTCCCGTAGGGTTCAGTACTCTCCCGCATTAGCCATCCTGAAGGACCAGGGCCCTCAAAGAATTGTGTGCAAAATATGTAGCTGCCGGATATGTGATGTATCTTTACATAGGTACTGAATGAAAGAAACTGGGAAGGAGAATCACACCATCTATATCTTACAGGTTCCTTTTTACTCCCTCATTCGAAATTGCAGTTTTCACTATGCTTCCCTGCTCTAAGTCAAAGAGACGTGAAAGAGAAGAACAAGGTAACAATGAGAATTTCATGAGAAATCTAATAAACCCACATTAACAGTGTGAAAGGCTTAAAGAAAATGCATGTGAAGAAATATTTCCGATAAGTACTCAGATAAGGCAACATTAAGAACTCCAAGACAAAAACCTGTAGAGTCAAAATGTGTTACAGTGCTTTTATAGTAAATGCACAATATCTCAGCTGAGCTGCATAAGATTCCCATGTGTATTAAACGTGATTCCCGTGTGACGTGACACTGACTTCTGATTTGTATCATCTCACAGAGAATATACACGCCTCTAAGAATCATTAAACTTGCTCTAGTCCATTCAATAAAATGAAAATCCCAAAACTGAGCGGGGGAAAGGAAAGACAGGAACGATAACACTTTGAACCGGTGTGTAGAAGAGCCAATCTTGCTTTCATGACTCTTGCTCACATATCAATTACAATAAAGTAGCCTCTTCTGATAGTAGGGAAAAAAAAGTGGAAAAATTATCACAATGAGTCTCCAGTACATATAGCACAAATAATTTTTGCCCTGTGTCTAGAAAAGCGTCAGTGCAAATACGTAAGTCCATTTAACATGATGGAGACTACTTGCACGCAGCGATGCGTGCAGGTTCCAGAACCTTGATATTTTAAAAAAGGCCAACTACCCCCACCAGCTTTTATTCTGCACACCTTGTCCCAGGGATAAGAACACATGAATCTTACACAGTGCTGTATGTTGGTGGACTTTAAAGCGTTTTACAGATGAGGTCAATGAAGGAAGAACGTCCGTTTTGCAGGTGGTGAAATTAAGACAAAGTGACTTGCCCAAACTCATCCCAGCAGCACAGTGGCAGACACAGGAGTAAAATTCAGGACTACCAAGGCCCTGTCTAGTGCACTAGCCATCAGCAAAGCATCATAAAGCTTTATAAATGGAATCTAGCTGTGAATTGCTTGGCAGGAGATGCTTTTCTACAGTTCACAAATTGGCTTCAAAACGGTTAGGAATATTCCAAGTTGCTACAGATTTCAAATACTGAAAAGTACACTTATTAAAGATAGAAGGAAAGAAGTTACAGATCACATAGATATAATAGATCTGTATTAGATTTAGGCCAAAGTCTTTACCCAGCTCTTTGCAAATGGGCTCCCACTGATTCAAAGATCCAGAGAGGCACAGGATAGTCTGCCTACACGCAGCCAAAGATCAAGATTTAAATGCTACACTTGTTTAGATTAACCAAGTAGAAACGTAAAACATATCTCAAATTAAAGTTCTCTCACACTCCTCTCAGTTCAGTACGACCCCTCATTAAAAGGCTAGGTTCAATCTGCAGACGACATGGTCTAGATAGGGTAATAAAGATGCATGTGAATTGCAACTTTAGGCTTAAGTAGCTTAGGTTCTTAAAACTTGCAGCATGATGACAAAGACAATAAATTGTACAGAAAGCTAACTGTGAAGTTGCACCTCTGTTTTTTAATTCAAGACAAATTTCTCCAACTTGAACCAGCTGGGCTCTAGCTTGATTTTATTCTAGGTTCAAGTCAGCTAAGCAAGTCAAACTATAGGCATTTATATCAGTGTGTAAAATTTGCAGTCAAAATAATGCTGTATGCATGAATTTGAGAACAAATCTTGCACACGCAA